AATTGAGAGGTCTTTCAGCCCCTCAAGTCAATCACACTTTATTAAGTCACGTACTGATTAAAAATACAAATTCTAGAATCCAATGAAGAACGAATGGGGAAGGAGCTGAAAAGTTACAGGTTTAACTAGTGCTCCAAATGTTCATCATCACAATTTAGGAATCAAAGTGGTTAATTTCAAGGTACAATATGATATTCAATTGGTAATGACTTGTAAGTGGCTAGAAGTTGGGGATTGTTGGATTAGAATTCGATGAACAAAGAGTAATACAGGTTTGGGAGTCATTTTTATAGATTTTCAAAAATAATTCAATAAAGTCATTCACCAAAGGCAGAGGGGGATGCAAAGTGACAGAACCTCCAGTAGTTAAAGGGCACTACTGGCAATTTTGGGTGTCAGTCACTCACCACCCTTGCCCCTAATGTCCCAACTGATTGAGAACTGCACACACAGACAAGTAAGCCTAAACCATCAATCGTTTTGATGGCAATGAATGAAAGAATGCAATTTGGACCTGATGCCAAAATGGAGGTTCCTACTCTTTTCCTAGTAGGATTAAAGTTAATGCTCTTGAGGTAAAGGATATCTGATAAATGTGCCTGTTCATCTGAGCCTTCAAGAAGTTCCCTGGCCTAATCTTTCTACTGCTAAGGAGGTATAGATTAAGGCACTGGCCCTTCTAATTGATCAAGGAGTTAGGCATCTAGAGAGAGAAGCAGAGAGTGGGTCCTGTTTCTAGTTTATCGGGCATCATGAGTCTACTTGGTGACAGAATGGCCCGATGGATGTCAAGTTCTCCTCTGAGAAAGAGTGATTAAGTTATGGCAAGAGACCAGAAATGTTCCTTCCAATACATCCCTCTACCCATTAGCCATGGTAGGACTTAAAGATTAACATTATTTGCTATTGGCACTATTTGCATAAGTCTCTCGATCCTTCCTTAATATTTATTCAGTTTCTAGAAAATGATGTAACAAGCTCTTAGCATAATGGAGAACAGAAATGAGTTTTCCAGGTTTATTTTGGTTACTTTCTAAGAGCTAGGAAAACTACATAAAGGTGATAATTTTATTGAAAAATATCATCAATTAAAATTTTTGTTTCAATTTCTTGTTAATTGCTATAATATAAGTTACGTGCTCAAAGACGGCCTGACACATAAACCCCTGATAAATGTCTGTTATTGTTGTTGAATCAAACTTGTTATGGGATATAGCGTTTGTGATTAACTGTTTTAGGGAAATTAGTTTACTTCATTAAACCTAAGAATTACAATATTTATTATAATTTTAAAATGCTAAATCTGCCCTGTAGACTCCTGAAAATATTCAGGCATAGGTATGGGCCCTACATGGTTTTAAACATACTTCGTTTTACTAGCAATCAGTAGTAAGTGTCATGGTTTAGAATTCAATACAGAGTTTAAATTTGAGCTCCCCCATCTACAACCTGTGTTACCTTAAGCTGGTTACTTGACCACTCTGAGATTCATGGTCTTCATCTAATAGGTATAATAGTTTCCTTGGCTATAAAAGAGGGATGATAATATTACATCCTCCAAAGTGTTGTTGGAAGGATAAATGAAGTCACATTAGTAAAGTGTTTCCCTTAAAATACAATGATCATATAGTGTTCTAGCATTTTAAAGTGCTCTTAAATATACTGTCTTTTCATTTTAACTGTTTTTAAATACCATGACTAAGGTAGGACAGACAATTTTATTTACATTTTACAACTATGAAGACCATTATTCAGTGAGTCACTTACTGTATTACTTTTCTATTGCTATATAATGATATTGCCACAAACATAGCAGCTTAAAACAACTCACATTTGTTCCCTGGCAGTTTGTGTGGGTCACGTATCTGAACAAGTTTATCTGTGTCCCCTGCTTGGTGTATCACCTGGCTGCAATAAAGATGTTATCCAAGTTTGCAGCCTCATGTGAGGTTCAACTGGGACAGAACCTACTTTCAAGTTCATTCAAGTGTTGGAGGAATTCAGTTCCTTGTGGTTGTGGGACTGAGGGTTTTAGTTTCTTACTGGCTATTTGTTAGAGGCCTCCCTCAGCTCCTAGAGGCCATTCACAGTCCTTGCCATGTGTAGTTCCCCAATATAGCACTTGCTTCCTCAGAGTCAGCAAGGGAAAGAAACCCTATCAGGATGAGCACTGTAATGTTACACAGTGTAATTCAGTAACCTCTTACATCTCATCACTTTGCTGAATTTTACTGATTAAAAGCAAGTCATGGGCCTGTCTACACCACAGAGAAAGGGATCACACAAGGGTGTGGACATTAGGAGGTAGAGATTATAGGGCCACCTTAAGAGTCTGTCTGTCTCATTTACCCAAAGGCATATTTTTAGGAGAAGAGCCAGAATTATAACCCAGTACTTCCAGTTCATATTTTATGCTCTTTCCATTTATACATTCAGTAAATTTTCAGGAATTGTTTAATGAGTATCTACTATATCCAAGGCATTATTCCATGTAAATAAGGGCTGCAGTAATGAGTATGACATGAAAACTTATCCTCAAAGAACAGGAAATATAGGGTTTGCCGAAATAATTATTCCACAATGATAAGAATGTTGAGAAAATAAAAAATGAGTTATGACGGACATACTTAGGAAGGCAAAAACTAGAAAAGTAGTCACACTGAATGAAGAAAAATATTGGGTTTGTAGAAATGGAGTGGGTGCTGGGAAAAACTATAACTTTCAATAAAAAAGTAAAATTTTCAACTTTATTTTATAAGCAATGCATAATAGATTTTTTCTTTGCTCTTCAGTATTTGTTTTTGAAGAAAAGTAATATGTTCAATGTGGGGCTTTGGTTATTCTGAAACTAATGCTGCTGAAAATATACTGGAAGCAAGTCACAGTTAACTTGGCCACAACTGTCATTTCCTGTTCAAAGACATTTTCTAAATATGGAAACAGAATTTGGTAAATGTTGGTTGTTTTAGTACTCTGTGATGTGCTCCACAAAAAACTCCGTGATAAACACTGGCAATGATACAACAATTATTTCCCCTTACACATCTAAGAGCAAGAACATCTTAAGCTGTTATAATGTTAAGCCTTATCAGTGGAGGGATAGAACTGAAAGGCTTTAAGCTGGGGAAAGAAAAATGATTTAAGGGTTTGGATGAATTGCACAGGCTTGTAAAATAGTATTAAATCAGTTCTGAAAAGATTTGAAGGGTACACAACACCCTGAAAGTGTGTTACACTTTGGTATCATTAACCAATAATTGGATAACAGAGAAGAGGGAAATGTGAGATGAAATATCAGAATCACACAAAACATTTAAAGTCTTAAGAGGCATGTGAACCGTGATAGTTGACAACTAAGCTATTGTTCCTTATCATACCGATACTGATCACTGTAAGAATGCTTGCTTTCAAAGCAGAACTCCCAAAGCCAGGGACTTATAGAGGAACACAGAAACAACATTTTGTTTTTATGTCTTGGATCAACTCAAGAATGCTGTGGACATATATAATTAAGAACACGAGGGAAATCAGATTGGAAGTCTTAGGAAAGCTAGACTATCAGTAAGAGACAAAGCAAGGACAATATTCAACAAAATGAATTAAGCAATTATTATTTTAACCTCTATGTCCAATGCACTTGTGTGGCCTCTTGGTGGCCTAGGGTGCCCATCTATAGGTACTACTGGCATCCACTGTGGTTGCTTTCAACGTTTACATTTTTCAGTCAGGAAACAGAAGAAAACATTTCAGCCAAAGATAATGACTAGTTTATTTTAAATCCTTCCTTTCTATACCTGCTAGAGATGACAATGGTGAAAATGGGCACAAAATATAAGGGTGGATTTTTCCTGATGATCTTGTGCTCCTGACTGTTCTGTTCTGAATATTTTTCAAGTCCTATTACTCAACCTTACAAGAACCCTGTGAATCCGTTTTCAGAGAGGAAACTGAGATCTAGAGAGATTAAAAAACTTCTACAAGCTCACAGAGCAAGTAGGGATGGTCCCAGAATTGAGACCCAGCCACAGGGCCCAAGGACCCACACTCCTCTCCACCACATTCCAAGGACAGCTGCCAGTGATGCCACTAAAACCTCCTTACTTCTTAGCAGCTGGAGAACAATGGGCCACATGCTAAGATCCCTGATACATAAGAGGCCTGAATTATTTTTGAGTAATTGAATTTCAGGTCCAGAAACTCTAACTTTGACCTATTAAAATATTTGAGCCACCCAGTTCAGAGCCTACAGCTGTCTGTGTTACCTCCGAGTACAAGCCTCTGCACTACTATTCTTGGCTGACTCTCAAAGCCAGATGCCTGGGTAACAATAAGTGCAGAAGATGGGAAAAAAGATGCTATCACTCTTCCCTGATGACACTTGAGGTATTTCAGCTAAGAGCCGTGATATATTCTCATGTAAATGGGTGGAATTGATATTATTAGTTTTATTTTCACAATGCCCTAATAGGGAAGTAAACCAATACATTAAGTCATGGAGGAGAATTATCAATGCTAATTAGTCCAAAAATGAATAAGAATGGGTGCCTAACATGATAGGCCCTCCCAGGATAACTCCTTATGTCCTGACCTTTTCCCTCTAATAGAGACTTACCTAGTCATCCATTAGTCAAGGGTTCATTTCCCATAGATTCCCATTCAGTACCTGGAGCTAATATGACACTTTAATTAACTACAGAGCACCTAAAATGTTACTCTTTTGAGCGTACATCTACTTTACAAGAGCTCATCCTTGCTTGTGGAACCAGATTCTCAGTCTGGGATGGCTAGATGACATGAAAGGAAGTCAAAGCCAGACTAAGTGTGAGTCAAAGCAGGTATCTGTAAGTCAGCACAGTTGAAGGCAGATAAGGGTGCGGTCAATGTAAGAGAATGCACAGAGACTTACTGAGATGAAGAGGATACTGGTTAGAAGAAACAACAGGTGCTGGGGGCACTCCAGTTCAGGAAAGCAAATCTCAAGCATAATGCTGTAGACTCACCCTTCTCAAAATTTAATGTGCATAAGAATCACCTGGAGATTTTGTTAAGATGCAGATTTGGTTCAGTAGGCTTGAATTCTTCATTTCTAATAATTTCCCAGGGACGTGCATGCTCTTGGTCTGTAGTTCATGCTTTGAGTAACAAAGCTGCAGAACAAACAGAAAGACAGGTCTTTGTAGCACTGGGTAGGAGAAACTGGGAGGCACACCAATTCCCTAGCAGTAATTAAAAGGGCAAATGCTCAGCTAACTTTTGAAGGGAACACACTCATAGGACTTTATCCTCAAAGCCAAAGTATATATTCAGCTGGCTGTAGGTAGTCACCCAATCTTGTGCAGCAGAGCGTCGACCTTCCGCCCTCTATATAGAAGGGATGTTGTGGAGAACAGTAAGAGCACGGGCTTTAGAGTTACGTAACGTGCATTCAAATGCAGTTTCTATTCTATCTACTTGCCATTTTGCCTTGGTCAAAGTTTCCTTTCTATGAATCATTCTTTCTTCAGCTGTAAATCTGGGAAAATAATTCCTCTTCGGCTATATTAATCAAGGAAGGCTAATCACTTTAAGAAACAACCCCCAAGATTAATGGCTTAACATAATAAAACTTTATTTCCATAACAGTTTGATAATGGTATTTGGCTTTCTGACACTGCAGTTTAGGAGTTCAGGATCCTTCCACCTTGTGGCTCCGTTCTTTTCTATATCTTCAGAGTTCAGCCCAGTGGACAGGGAAAGCATATGGAAAAGCACACAGGAGGATTTTATGAGGCTGGTTGAGAAGTGGCACATGTCAATTCTACACATGCTCTATTGACTAGAACTTAGTCACTTAGTCCCACTTCATTTCTGGGGAGGCTGAAAAACATAGTCTATCTTTGCAGTCAGGACAAAGAGGAGATGAGTTTGGAGAATGTCTATCCTATGCTTTCTCAACCAGAGGATTAATGCCCTATGACACCCACGACATGTAATGAATTAACTTTTCTCCTATGCATGTAGAATGGAGGTTTCTATGTATTCTCCTTGGAAAACTTGAGAAAATCATCACTCAGATGATTTTCTGCAGTGCTTGGTCAATCTTTGCTATACCTGCATACCATTGAAGGTGGCTAGAAGATCAAATGAGAAAATATATGTTTATATTCTTAAGCTACATGGCACTATATGAATGAAAGCTGCTACAGAAGAGAAAAATACATGAATCAGGCTGGGGTGGGGAGAATTAGAAGTAGCAGTGGTAGGAGAGGTACCAGGTGCTGTGCAAAATGATTTCCTTTTTCTGCATTTCTTTTGTAATATTTTAAACTTCCTGGTCTACCTGATGACCTCTCAATCCTTCTAGAAGTCTCCCCCTAGAATTTCTTTCTCCATAAAGCTTTATTGAACCTTTCCCTCAAGCCCAATATGTTACTAATTCCTCTATAAAACCCAAGCAACATAATGCATTCCTCAACTGGCATATTGCATGTGTGCAGTTATTTATTTATACACTCGCCTCCAACTAGGAACAGAAGTCACTTTATATTCCTCCTTATTTGCTTGGCACATATAGTATTAGGCATTTAATTCACATATTCTGAAAAGCTTTAGATTTTTTGTCAGAGCAGAGAGTCCAGTTTTCTGTTTGGACTAACTGGAGGCTACATAAGCATGCTCAGATCCCCTGAGTTTCCAGGGTAGTGTCTCCCGGAGCTGTATCATATTTCTTATCCAGATACAGTTCATTTTTATTGGTGCAATCCTTAAACTAGTCCTTAAACATCCTTAAATTGGACCTGGAGAAAAAGCAATCCATGGAATTTGGGTTCCTGTAATTGTCAAGCATAGTGATGATGATTTCAGAAACTGGGCTAAGCTTGTGCAAATGATCCCTGGGGACTAAGAAAGTTTTCTCAATGCTCCCCAAATCATACTTCATACACATCTACCTACAGCAATAAATATGAGTACATTATGGCTTGGATATGATGGAGAAGTACATTCTTTCATCACTCTTCTTGTCTGAGGAAACAATTTTGTTTCCCAGAATGGTTTGGAACTACAGTTTGTGTCTCTAGAAAAGCTCTGTTGAAAAGATGAAGATAAAGGACTGCTTTCTCTATCACTCACTGCTGAGCAAAAGAGATGAGAAATCTGTCTTGCAAACCACCTTTCTCAATTTAGTTACCCCAGAGAATCAAATAAATGTGTGTTTTATCTACTTAATCTCATGAATTCTATGCAAGCCTAGCCCAGTGGCTGACTGTGACAAGCCATCAGAAATCTCTTTTTAATTTTATATTTTCCCATTTCACAATTGCTTGATAAATGATTATATCTGACAGCGTTTAATCCATGTAAGAGTCATCACTGGCGATGAGGGCTTTGGAAGAATTGTATGTATATTGTCCTTCTCCTTGTGTATCCCTTTACCTGCTTTTTAATCAACAGATATGCCACACACTGACAGAGTCTTTCATTACGTGCTCTATTCAGGGCTTTGGTACTCTTTACTGCTGGTACATGATAAACAGTAAAGATGCGCCCCCTACTACAAAAACAGATTTATTAATAAATAGCTGACATTTTGTGCTTCTGCAGAATACCAAAGCAATTAGTGACAATAGTAGAATGATTTTCAATGCCTAGAGAGCACAATATCATATTGATTCAAGCTCAAAGCATTCTCTAAATAACAGCTAAGGAATTGTCTACTGCATTTGATCAATTTTTTAAGTAACAGGTGGTAAAAAAGAAAACACATCAGTAAAACTGCTTTGAATGGTTCAACTGGATATATTAGCCAATTTGCAAATATAGAAAAACTGGTAGACTAATGGCATAAAAAATAATTTTGTTTTCTTTTTTATGTTTGTATATATGTGTATTATATTTATGTTTATACATATGCATTTTATTAACATGTTTATATAGGCATATGTATGTCACTAACATATATATCATCAATAAAGTTCATCATCTTTGGATATCATGTAAAATTGAGATATTCATTTGATTTAAAAGCAAAGGGTTTGGGGTGACCTTCAAGATGGCGGAGGAGTAAGACGTGGAGATCGCCTTCCTCCCCACAAATACATCAAAAATACATCTATATGCAGAACAACTCCTACAAACACTTACTGAACGCTGGCAGAAGACCTCAGATTTCCCAAAAGGCAAGAAACTCCCCACGTACCTGGGTAGGGCAAAAGAAAATAGAAAAACCAGAGACAAAAGAATAGAGACAGGACCTGCACCTCTGGGAGGGAGCTGTGAAGGAGGAAAAGTCTCCACACACTAGGAAGCCCCTTCACTGGTGGAGATGGGGGGTGGAAGGGGGGAAGCTTCGGAGCCACGGAGAAGAGCACAGCAACAGGGATGCAGAGGGCAAAGCAGAGAGATTCCCGCACAGATGATCGGTGCCGACCAACACTCAGCAGCCCAAGAGGCTTGTCAGGTCACCCAGAAGTCTGCACCTGCCTACGAGGCAAGAGACCATTGTTTTGGGGTGCACGAGGAGAGGGGATTCTTTCCCTGTCTGCCTGCAGAGGGCAGAGCACCGCCTAAATGAGCTCAAGAGATGGGCGCGAGCTGTGGCTATCAGCCAGGACCCCAGAGGCGAGCATGAAGCGCTAATGCTGCTGCTGCAGCAACCAAGAATCCTGTGCGCAAAAACAGGTCACTATCCACATGCCCCTGGGAGCCTGTGCAGCCCGCCACTGACAGGGACCCGTGATCCAGGGACAAGTTCCCCGGGAGAATACACGGTACGTGTCAGGCTGTTGCAACATCACACCAGCCTCTGCTGCCACAGGCTGGCACCGCATTCCAATTATAACTACCATAACCCTCCCTCCCCTCGCCCTGAATGAGCAAGAGCCCCCTAATCAGCCGCTGCTTTAACCCCGTCCCGTCTGGGCGGGAACAGATGCCTGAGCGCAACCTACAGGCAGAGGCGGGGCCAAAACCAAAGCTGAACCCCAGGAGCTGTGCGGACTAAGAAGAGAAAGGGAAATGTCTCCCAGCAGCCTCAGGAGCAGGGGATTAAATCTCTACCATCAACTTGATGTACCCTGCATCTGTGGAACACCTGAACAGACAACAAATCATCCCAAAATTGAGGTGGTGGACTGTGGGAGCAACTGTAGGCTTGGGGTCAGCTGTCTGCGATTTGTTTCTGATATTTATGTTTATCTTAGTTTAGTTTTTAGCACTTGTTATCACCGGTGGATTTGTTTATTGGTTTGGTTGCTCTCTTCTTTTCTTTTTTTAAATTATTTTTTATGTTAATAACCTTTTTTCTTTATTATTTTTTAATTTTTATTTATTTTCTTTCTTCTTTTCTCCCTTTACTTCTGAGCCATGTGGCTGACAGGGTCTTGGTGCTCTGGCCTGGTGTCAGGCCTGAGCCTCTGAGGTGGGAGAGCCGAATTCAGGACACTAGACCAGCAGAGACCTCGCAGCCCCACATAATATCAGTCGGCAAGAGCTCTCCCAGAGATCTCTGTCTCAACACTAAGACGCAGCTCCACCCAACGGCCAGCAATTTCCAGTGCTGGATTCCCCATGCTAAACAACTAGCAAGACAGGAACACAACACCACTGATTAGCAGAGAAGCTGCCCAAAATCATAATAAGTTCACAGACACCCCAAAACACACCACCAGACGTGACCTTGCCTAAAAAGACAAGATCCAGCTCCACCCACCAGAACACAGGCACCAGTCCCCTCCACCAGGAAGCCTACACAAGCCACTGAACCAACCATACCCACTGCGGGCAGACACCAAAATCATAAGGAACTACGAACCTGCAGCCTGCAAAAAGGAGACCCCAAACACAGTAAGGTAAGTAAAATGAGAAGACAGAGAAACACACAGCAGATGAAGGAGCAAGGCAGAAACCCACCAGACCTAACAAATGAAGAGGAAACAGGCAGTCTACCTGGAAAAGAATTCAGAGTAATGATAGTAAAGATGATCCAGAATCTTGGAAATAGAATGGAGAAAATACAAGAAACGTTTAACAAGGACGTAGAAGAACTAAAGAGCAAGCAAACAATGATGAACAACACAATAAATGAAATCAAAAATTCTCTAGAATGGATCAATAGCAGAATAACTGAGGCAGAAGAACGGATAAGTGACCTGGAAGATAAAATAGTTGA